CTTTGAGGAGGGGACAGGGGACGGAGATCAGTCTGCCTAGCTGCGGGCTGGCGGCGGGGGCAAACGTGAACCTTCTAAAGACAAAATTAACCCAAGAGAAGCCCTTCCGTTGCGTATTCCCACCGCGAGGCGGGAGGGAAGGCTTCCTCGCCGTCCGCCCTGTGGGGGCTGGAGCGGAGGGTGGGCTCCTGCCAGGCTGAGGGGCAAGAGCTTTCTTTTGGTTTTGTTTTGGTGAGTTGAGTGTGTTGGGTTGCAGGTGTCACCTTTGGAAACTCGTTGCTTAGCCCAGAGCCTTTGTGCAGGAGAGTCGGGATGTAGTGACGGGAGAAGGACCCTGACAGCTTTCTCCTCGTGTTCCCTTCGCCATGGCAGAAATTTGTACTAACTTGACAGCTTTTTTTCATACCGAACAGGGCTGCTTTTCTATCTACCATCACACGTGTACTTACACACCTTCAGCGGCTCGTGAGCCTCTGGGGGTCCTCAACTTGTTTACTGGGGGGACGGATGCCCCTCTCTCCCCCCTCCCCTGAATATTTCAGTGTTAAGGGTGGTGCGAAACACAACCGCGCGCTTCGACTCCGACCTGGGGCTGGAGCCGTCTCCTCTCCTGCCCCCTCAACCCCCCCCGCCCCGTCGATAAGTTCTCATTTCGTTGGGTTTCCTGGTGTGTATTGAAATCGCTGCGAGGGGCCGTGCTCTACCTGCTCAGGAGCTGAATTACCTCTGACCCGCGGAGAGGGGCAGCCCCTCTTTGTGTTGATGTTGTAGTGTGCGACCACACGGATCGGTAAAGGTAGTCTTTTGTTTCCTTCTTCCCCCCTCCCCGGTATTTCCGATTAGGTGAATGCACTCTGTGTGCCCAGCTGGAAACGTAGGCGTTTTCCCGGTCGTGAGAGGGTGGCTAGAAGAGTTAGTGTAATACCTGCTGTAGCTGTGTCTGGCGCAGCCCCTTGCGCTGGTCTGGGTGGTGTCACGGACTGTAAGGATAGGTAATGTCCATGAGCTGTAATGGCATGATGTGTCTTTACCAATGATGTCAGACTTCACACTAAATGTTTTAAAAAAAAAAAAAAATTACCTGAAATTTTGTTTATTCTGCACCAACAGGTCTTCAAAATTTATCCAAATTTTATTATTTTATCAGGAAAAAAAAATAAATTTGTGTAGATCGAATATGTTAAGACAGACAATAAGTGATGTAAATTGTTGAATAAAAATTTTAAAGTTTGTGGGTGTCGGTGTGACTTTCTTTTTTTGCGCTCTCAGGGAGCGTCGCCTAAACCCCGGGGATGCTGTGTGGCTGAGGACTCGACTTTGGGTCCCTCAGCGCTGGCCACAAAGCCCGCGAGCGGCGCGGCGATGGCTGTGTCTGCGTGGGCACGGGGACTGGGAGCGGGCTGGCCTCCACCTTGGCTGGGGAAGGGGAGGACGGAGAGGAGAAGCAGCCCCATGGGTGCAGAGCCGCGGCGCCCAAGGATTTGGCGGCTGTGCCTGTGTGTGCAGGACCGTCAGGGGATGAACCTGCCTTGGTGTGAGCCCCGCCTGGCTTTAGTGCTGCTCAGACTGGGCGTGGAGGAGTCTGCTCCCTGCGGCTGGAGCGGGGATGTGCCACTTCAATCCCAAACACACAACAGCAAACACCCACAGGCTGGTTTATCTTTCTGTTTCAGTCACATTTATTGGCAATTGTGGCGGGTGGGGCCCGAGTGTTGTTCCATAAGCAGTTGCAGTACAAGAAGGGGTGGTTATTTCAGGAGGGGAGGATTAGCACCAAAAGGGAGCCACCGAGCTTTAGAAACCTTGCAGAGAGGTACTGGAACGGGGGGAGCTACTGCTGGACACGCCGGATGGATTGGATCTGGGAGGTCTGGGCGTGCGAGCCCCACTCTCTCCAGTGCTTGTAGTCTCCTCCGTGGTGGTCAGACTCCAGGACGTACTGGTAGCCACGGTACCCGGGATACTGGTAGCCAACCCAGCTGGAAGAAAAGGAGACATCAGGCGGCCGTAAGGGGGACAAGAGGTAAGCGAAGGGGTTACGGGGTGTCCCCTCGCCAACTGTGGTAGCCCAGGAATGGGAC